CGCGTACACATCGAATGACAGCAGAGCGCTTCTCCCGATCCGTATCGTATTGTCTTCGTCGATCATGGATTTTAGTTTAGAAATTATTTATCATGTATCTATATATATATATATATTTGACATCATTGAACAATTCGAACATTTCTTATTTATTTGATTTGACTTGATTTGATTTTTTCATCCCCTATTTTACTTTCTATTTTTCTTTTTCTTTTTTCTCTTTTTTTTTTTCTTAGAAAAAAATAATGATCGAAGTAATTATTTTATGTTGGTGAATGCGCACGTGTTGGTTGATATCATTTGGAAATAAACGAATACGTGATATGAATTTTTTATGTATATGTATATATATTAGGATCGTTCTAAAGTGATAAAGTATAACTCAATTGTTATCGATTAAGTACATCGCGCAAAAAAATGGTACATTGTTATTATCAGCTGTCTTTCTTGAAATAGAAATCTATAGATACGTACGTCTCGTTTCATACCGATATTATCTTTTAAACGTGTTATTTATAATACTTCAAGCTTGTTCCATTTCCTTCGTTCTATTATTACATATATATATATATATATATATATATTTAACGTATTACCATTTTATCCTAATTAATTCGTTTCTAATCTACTAATTTTTAAACTAATTTCCATACTTTTATGGTTGCCCTCAGAAATGTATTACATCATTAAGTGTATATGCAACTTACATAGAATATATTTTATATTCAACATATATGTATATATATATATATATATGTATATATATATATATATATATATATATATAAGTATAAACATTTATTATTAAAAAGATAATTAAATTCTAAAATTTGTTCTGTTGATTAAAATAATTGACGAATGAAAATGAAGGAAATGAAATGAATTGAGATATTGGGATATCCTGTTGTATAAATTATTATTGTATATAATAAACCTAGAGAGTCACTTATATATCAGGTGATTCGAAATGAACTCGTTATAAATGTTAAATGTGAAATATTGAAAAAGCATTTTAAAATAGATTTTGGCGAACGTGTCATTTCGAAACTGCTCCAGGGGGTTTGACGAATGGACGAAGCACAGGACATATATTATAGGATCGGTGTCCTTTTCCGCACGATTGCGCGCATGCGTATTATTTCTCGTGAACCAAGCCTGTTGGCCTCCGCAGACGAGGATTGAATCACGACGCGCCAAGATATTGTTCAAGATAAGATGTCATTCCTCTTATACGGCCATATTGATCCTATCCTACATCAGCCTTTCATTAAAAATAATCGATCGATCGATCGATTATTACGATATACTTTTCTTTTATTTTTTCTCATCGATTTAATTAAACGTTTATCTCGAAACATTTTCATCAATATTAATTTTCAATTTTAATTTAACATTCAATATTAATTTAACTTTCCCGAGTCCTATGACGCGTTGGAATTTTTTATTTTATTTTATTTATTATTTTTGTTCTTCTCTTTCTTTTTTTTCTTTTTTATTTTAGTTTCTAACGTACAAAAATGTTGCGAGACTGTAGAAATAATTTCTTTTCACGGATCAAGTGGCATGTTTTAAAAATTTAGAATAATAATATAATGGAAGAACGTATAATATATATATATATATATATATATATATATATATATAATTTCTAAAAAGATATGAGAAGGTGTAAACTTTATGAGGTATAATCAAGATTAATTATTAAATAAAAAAAAAAACAAAAAAAAAGAAACGTAATATAAATTTAATCGAAAAATTTTCGGTACATTGTACCGATACATTTACATCTTAATATTAATAATAATTGTTTTCTTTTCCTCTTTTTTTTTCTCTTTGGTTCGTTTTAATTCAAAGAAAAATTATTCTTCATTTATTGCCCCGAAATTCACCAACCGGTATAATTTTCATCGGTAACGACGACGGCGTAACACACACACACACACACACACATACACATGCGCGGATGTTAATAAAGGAAGATGTAACGCCTTTTCGCTCATTAGCCGCGAATGCGCGCGGCGTTACGGGCGAGTTCGTCGAATAACGAGACAAAGACTTTCTTTATGCATCCGGTGGCCACTGGATGTGTAAACTAAAATCTTCGCTGGGCCGCGCGCGCTTTATTGGCCGCATTATATTAGCGGACACTAGCGAAAGAAAAAGAGAGAGAGAGAGAGAACGAAGCTAGTACATTGGTTTTATCGGTCTATACCTTCACAACGCGTTTATACTTTGCCTCTCTTTGATAATTATTATAGGTCTATTGATTAAAAAAAGAGAGAGAGAGAGAGAGAGAGAGAGAAAAATTGAAGAAAAAAAAGAAAAAGAACTTCTTTTATATATCATAAAGCATCATTTACTTTTCACCAATTGAACTTTTCATTTTTTACTTTTTAATTATTATCAAAAATTCCAAAATGAAATAGATAATATACTTTAACCAAATTTTTGATCTTTCGTTTAGGCTTTGTAAGTGATATTAGAATACCACTTAAGTGGT